AACTTTGGAGAATTAGCGGGAGTTTCGTAATACATATTTAACAGTATAAGCTATGCATGTTTTGAAATATAAACTCAATCCAAACAAACGTTGACATTAAAATAAATATATATAACAAATTCGTTACAGATGGAACAGCCAAGATGGATCAACAGGTCCCCTGTTGTCCCAAAACATTATATTATATTATTTAATAATGATAAACAGAATGGTTTTTTCTGGTCTGTATCATGTTTTACTAATGATAATCTATCTGTTTTATCTGGTCACTGTGTCTTGCAGATTAAAACATAATTTGACTGTGATGGTTTTGTTATGATAGTTACAACCACATAAGAGAATATCTGCCACAGAGGCCTTAAATCACGAGTTTTTCCAGGAACTTCCTCAGAAAATTCATGAGCTGCCTCCCCGTAAGTATCGAATCCAGAAGATTTTGAACCAAATGTTTTGAAATGTGTAGTTTTGTGTCAGTTAGTTGACAATTCCATGATAACTGTTATAATAAAATATCAAAATATATATATCTGTATTTTCAAAAAAATTGAGATTACTGTGCAGAAAATTTAGTTGTTTTTCGTGTGCCGAATGAAAATGCTTATTTCCAGATGAGTCTTTAGTCTTCAGGTGATGCTTGAAGTTCTTCAAGTGTATTATGTACTCCACTCGGAATATAACCTGAAATCCATGAAAGAGCAGAAACCCATTTAAAAAACGAATCCTGTCTACATAAACTTTGTAAGGGATTTAAGAACTTGTGTATGAGTAAATCTTTAGTTCGAAGTACTGAAAGCCTGTAACCAGTTTTTATTAAAAGCATGAGGATATCTTTGGCAAAGCAACAAGAGATTAGTTTCTGCTGGTCATCTACATCTACATTCTTTTCAGTTAATCAACAGATTATATTAGTGGAGACACAGTTATAGATTGTTGTAAAAGTTCTTTAATTGATATCTCTTGGTGGCTGCATCTGTGGATTTTAACAACTTCAAGTCATTAACCCTAAAAAGTTTTTGCTACGAGATTTTAAATATTTTTATGCATATATCATGCTATGTATAACAGAGTGACAGTTACACGCATCAAAAAATCTTTTAAAATATTGAAATATTGTTAAAAGTCATGAAATTATCATGTCTTCTGTGAGCACATACCTGAATCTTTGGTGAAGAAAAGTTTGTGAAATTTTCTTCCATGTGTTAACTTTTCATTGCACTACATTCCGATGGATGCTTTTAATATGTCATGGGTGTTAATGCAGCATTGTCAATATGCTTGTAAGCATAGTGAAATGTACAACATCACGAACTTACATTTATTGGGAAGAAGTGCTGTCCAACAAAAAGTATTTTGATTCAAAGGACAAATAGGAAACTACTTTTCAAACAATATTTTCTTTATACCTTTAGCAGTTTTTGTGACTTTTAATTTCTGTTTCTAACCAAATTTTATACATTGTCAGTAATTTAGTTTTTGAATGATAAGATCAGTAGGTATTTTTTATTTTCTATGAAAGATTATGTAACAGATTAGTTATAAGTGTTAAACCATTAATGATAAAGTCATCAAACTGCATAGTATTCAGGATGAAAACATTAACAGGTTCTTGTTATAGTATACTATCAGATGTGTGAAGTACAGACACAGGTCCTTGTTATAGTATACTATCAGATATGTGAAGTACAGACAGGTCCTTGTTATTGTATACTATCAGATGTGTGAAGTACAGATACAGGTCCTTGTTATAATATACTATCAGATGTGTGAAGTACAGACAAGTCCTTGTTATAGTATAATATCAGATGTGTGAAGTACAGGCAGGTCCTTGTTATAATATAATATCAGATGTGTGAAGTACAGGCAGGTCCTTGTTATAGTATACCATCAGATGTGTGAAGTACAGACAGGTCCTTGTTATAGTATACTATCAGATGTGTGAAGTACAGATACAGGTCCTTGTTATAATATACTATCAGATGTGTGAAGTACAGACAAGTCCTTGTTATAGTATAATATCAGATGTGTGAAATACGGGCAGG